GACTCTAGTACTAATACACACACTAACAATCTACGACTCTAGTACTAATACACACACTAACAATCTACGACTCTAGTACTAATACACACACTAACGGACTATGACTCCAGTACTAATACACACACTAACAATCTATGAGTCTTGTACTAATACACACACTAACAATCTATGAGTCTAGTACTAATACACTATGACACTATAAATAGTTCGACACTGCTTTGACCTTCTCAGAAAATAAATATATTTCTGTAAAGGAAACTTTTTTTGTCTGCAAAGTCTTAATATTTACGTCGCGATCATCGCAAGATCCTGTCTGGGAAAAAAAATAACGGGTACTAGAGCGTTTCATACTTAACTGAGAGACGTATAAGACATTTTTCCTTTTTCCTTCATTCACCGTGGTTTAAAAACAAAACTATCACCAACAGGGTCGTCAAACAATAAAGACAATAGACTGCATTCATTCTGTAACACCTTATTAAATAGTTTTAGGAACAAAGAGAAAAACATTTTCTTGCTACAATTAGTTTACACAATTTAGTTTAGCAAACTTTACTCCATTAAATATACATTTCTTTTTGTTGTTTTTACATCTATTTAAAGTTTGCCAGCTCGGTCTATAATATGTACTGGTAATGTGTTAACATGGACAACGGGCAATGTTAGAGTAAAAAAATACAATATGAAAAGGTCCTAACAAACAAACTTAACAATTCCCCCAAACCACAGAATTCAAATAAGATCAAAATGCATTTACTCTTTAAATAAACAATACAACAAAATGGTGCGCTTTCCAGCATGATTCAAGATTAAAAGTTATGATTTGTTTCTTACAAATATTTACTTGTAAAAACACAAAAATTATGTATAAAAGAACAAAAACATTGAAAAAGAGAAAACACTTGACACAATAGTATATTCTTTATGTAGCATCCCCTTCAAAATAAGAGGGACTGATGTCTTTGTGTTACACACCTTATGACCACCTTCTCAAGAGCCATCTGTTGGTGGCCTCTCTGTGAGTCAAGCTTGAAAAGCATCGAGGAGTAGTGTCATGTGAAATCCAAGGTGTCTTGACTGTAACTGAACTATTTCTGTAATGACTGAGAGAAAGGAATTTGCTTGTGTATAAAATTTGAAAAGAAGACAGAATGTAACATAACCGGAGAGTTAAATCAAGAGGAAGTTGTGTTGAGGCACAAAATCATCCAACGTTCATCTTGGTATTGAAAAATAAGGCAGGTTCACACAGCTGCCAAAGACCAACAGGCTCTTAATAAGATGGCCAGCCGGTGTCTTCTCCTACATCCAGAAACGACAGTAAGAACTCCCAGGGACAAAACCAGGTACACTAAACATGAGGTCACTAGAGATGTTTAACAAGTGTGTGTGTGTGTGTGTGTGTGTGTGTGATGTTGGTGAGACAAATAAGTGCTGGTTACACAAACATGATGGGGAAACAATGTCACGTGTTGTCCATGCGCTAATGTGTGCATGTCACATACAAGAGAATTGATAACAGGTCCGTCAGACCGCTGAGACCACCGTCCGCCCACCCCCTCACTGAGAGACAGATGCAGGATGTGGTGGTGGCTCTCCGTCCTCTATGTGATCCTCACCCCCCCTTGAACAAGGTGAAACAGCCTGGGCAAGGGTTTCAAACACACCAGCTGCAGTGGTTACGTCTTATCTACAGCGGTGGTGCTGCCAGCCAACACGTACGTGAGGATGATGAGGCTTTAGATGAACAGGTTCCACACACATTAATGGTCAGGAACTAGCCAAGCCTTCTTTTAAGACTTCATCAGCTTTTATGTTTCTCTGGGATTTGGTCACATCACTGATGTCAGTCTACCCAGAATGATAACACGTGTGGGGACAATGACATTTGAACAAATTCATATTAAAATCTGTGACCGTAATAGGAATTTTAGCTGCGGTAGCTCTGTAAACATTTTCATCTGACTTTATTGAAACTGCATTCTGATAAAGATGGCTGAAAATTGTGCTCACAATAATATTTAGTCAGGGTTCTCATGTTATCATTCCAGGCAGACATTAGACCTTAGCGAGATCACAAAAACACAGCCCGCTGGGAAACATGCAATCTGTTTCTTTCTTTCCACTAAACTTTGCTTAGTGATCAAATCCTGAGAGTAACAGAAAGAGAGACGGGGTCTTAAATGTGGCTAAAGCTAACGATGCTATCAGAGACTGAGGCCCTAAATGTTCAGAACAAAACAGTTAAGTCCTCAGGTCACCCAAAAAAAAAAGTTCACACTGACAATGAATGTGGATAAGCACATAACAGGGTTTGAGCTCAGTGAGAATGAGTCAGTCTGACCCCGATCATCTTGGCACCATTACGTGTGCAAACAGTACGTGTAGGTAAAAAGGCCCTGACTCTGAAATTTGAATAAATCATCCAGTTCCACATTTTTAAGTGCATCTCTCTTTATATTAACAATGTGATAGAAATGGAATGAAATGGAAGCAGCGTACTTTTTTAGTTTACAGTAGAGACTGACTTTAGGAAAGGTGGTTGTCCTTTGAGTTTCTCAAAGCACCAACTGCAGCTGAGGGAGGAGCAGTACGACATCATCAAACCTACTTTTCCTTTTGTTTTTTAAAACAGGGCATTAACAAGTGAAATAATAAATATATTTTAAACATTGTACAAGAGGCAAATAAACCTGCCTCAAACAATCGCTAAACATCCACTTTTTTCTCATAAATAAATAAATAGCTTTAACAGATGAGTTAAAAAAGTGAGAAATTTGGAGATTTGAAACTAATTTTGTTCCCCCTCAGAATAAGGAATTTTGGTTTATGGTTTAAGAACAATAAGAAGCGGAAATAAAGACTTTTTTTTTTAGCATTTTGGTTTGATCTCAATAAGGCCAGGCTACTAATGTTTAGTAGTTCATTTTAAGCTGTTATTTTTTTATTCCTGCATTTACTCAAATTGTTATCTTGCAAATTCTCATCTGGTATTTTTCAAACTGTTGATTTTCTTTCTGTTAAAGAAGCCGAGACACACATACGAGTCGAGTTAGAGACGTCACTCCTGGGGTGGATGGTGTTCAGGCTGCTGATGCTCTGAAACAGTCTGAACTACAGCAGTGAACTAACTGATGAGAGATGAGAGTGGGAGGGGACACTGTTAAAAAATGCAAAAATTGTATTAATGACATCAGCGACGATCATGATTGGCTGCTTCCAAAAAACACAATGTGTGACTGGAGTCAGAACAATTAATTAATGTTAACTCTCAAAATTTCTGTTATTACATTCAAATATTCAAAATCAACATCCTTACTTCTGAGTACGATTACGTAAGGGCTCACTGAATGCAATGATGGAAAAACCACATTGGTTTGGATAGTCGCGGGGGGGGGGGGTAAATCCTACATTAACACACATTACTGTTAAACATAGGACATGTGCCTGAAGAGAGATATTTAATTCTGAGGCCATGTGTTTATGTTACTGTGGCTTTTGCTCAGGCATTATAAAAAGCTTGATTCAAAATGTGCCTGCAGAGATGTGCAATAAGCTTATTCAGGTTATGAGATAAAAATTGATTTTAATTCTCTTCTGAACTGAAGTATAAAAAAGTCCCATTCGAGAGTCCAATGAGTCTCGGTGTGTCCAGGTAAACTAAGTGTTTTGGTCTCGTTAATTAATGATGCATAATACTGACGTAGCAAAGACACGTAAACTGGAAGGTTTGTAGATTTTTGCCCAGTGGGAGATCTAGTGAATATCTGCACTAATTTAAAAAGTGAGATTCTTCAGCATGAGATGAGATGTGCTGGGTCTCTGAGGAGTTTTACTGAAGAAATGGAGGAGCGAGCTGTGGAGGGACATTCTACATTTGAACTCAGGAGGCAGATAGTGCAAAATAAATTTCATAATCACTTTGCATGAGTAAGGGCACCTGACTAAAAACTTGACTCGGTCTGCATGACGCCCCAACGTGCATTGTCGCTCTTGTTTTGTGGTGAGGCTGTTGGTGTATGTGCATGCGTGTGTCTCTAATGCTGTTGCATAATGAGTCTTGAGGCAAATGATTTCTAACTAAGTAAATAATTTTGCATAATCCTCAATTGACATAATCAGATCTACCGTCGCGCTCAGTAGAATGTGTGTCAGAAACTGACATGGCCAGTAGTAGTTAGCAGTAATAACGAGTCAGTGAATCCACAAACATTCAGCTTTGATTGTTTGACATCCATCGCTCTCGTTCTGGATTAAAGTGCCGCCATCTCTTGCTGCATATTGTGGACATATGCACACACACCAATTCATCTCTGTGTGGTGATGACATCTTGGAACATGCTGTGATTTACTGTAGCATGCTTAAAACCAGCGTAGTGGGAGGCAGAAAAAGACTGACACAAGATAAAGAAAACACATAATGACGAGGGGATGGTGCGTCACATTTCTTCCAACCAATCCTGCACCGCTTCTGTCCTCCACTCTTCCATCCTTTCATCTCAGTGTACCATCCCTTGCTTCCCATTGCCCATAAGCCTGTTGGCTATACCCGACTCTCTCCTGGTGCCCCGCCTCCCTCCCCTCCCATTCCTCCTCCCTTCACCCCATCTCTATGTCCCATTCTGCTCCTGCAGGATTCCTGTAGCCTCCCCCACTGGTAGCCTGTGAATGCAGGGCTGATGGGGATGTACTTGAAGATGGAGTGTCTGCGAATGAAGTCCATTCCAAACGGCAGGTCATATGATCTCATCCCTTCCAGTTCCGCTGTGCTGAGACCAGAGCCAAGCTTCAGCTTCTTGACGCCTCGCTCTTCAGGGGTACCTGACAAGACAAACGAGGAGTGAATAATCAAAACCACGAAGGACAACATGAGTTTCCCTTTGTTACAAGACATGAAGATACAAAAAGTCATAGATCCCTTGTAACGGATACTTTATGTGTCTGCCCATCAGTCCTCCAGGTCAAAGCTTTAGCATTGCTTAAACTACCATCAATAACTCAAAGAAGCAGTGAATTTACAGCACAATTTACATTCTTTTTTAAAATCATTAGTTTGGAAATGAGAAAGACAGTGGAGACCTTACCAGGGATAGTGTTGTCCAAAATGAAGGCAACAGAGCCTCCGACAAACATGGCTGTTGTGAGGAGCACGTTCAGCACTTGGTCAATCTCAACAATACCTGAGGGAGATAAAGAAAAGATGATAATTCAAGATGTGTCCTTGCAACATTTGTGTAGCTTTAATCATAACAGAGCATGGTGAGAACTGCAGCTGGAGGTTGATAAGATGATAAGAACTATATATATATGAAATATGATAAAATAAACAAGATATAGAACAAAACCAAGCTGAGAACATCAGAAAAGGACAATAATACATGTGCATGACCAAGAAGAAACAGAAATAGAACATTTGATGAGAAACAGAGGCCTGTTGTCATTTCTAATGATGCTGCATCTTAAAACAGTCTCCAGAAACTGTGACGTACTGGAAGCTAATCTAAATCTATTATCTCCTAACAACGGAATATATTAAACAAAGGTTACACTCACTCATCCTCATATTTGTGCAGCTTCTGTTTATTTCTCACTAGAAATAACGAATAATAAAAATTTACTGTAAGGTTGGAGGATATTGTGCACATATGCGTTATGTAAGCTATCTTTCCGTTAATTGTTATTGAGGTGAATGTAATGATGAATCTTCATGTTGACCCTTGCTTGTCGGGACTCCCCCTCTGCTCACCTGTGACCAGCGGGTTCTGTTTAAGGTAGCTCGGCAGCATCAGACCGAAGAAAATGGAGAAGCCCAGGACAAAGAGGTTCCTGGAGGAGTTGAGGTCCACGAACTGCAGGTTGGAGAGTCCCACTGCAGTGATCATACCAAACAAGGTGCAGAACAGAGCTCCCAGGACAGGGTCAGGCAGAGAGGCGAACAGGGCGCTGAATTTACCCACCATCCCCAGCAGCAACATCATGGCAGCTCCGTACTGAATCACACGTCTGCTGCCCACCTGGAGGACGGAAGACAGTCAGTTAGAGAAGAATGCTGCTTTCATGCACTGAACTCCTGAAATCATCCGGAGGGGCTGTGTGAGAGAATGCAAATGTCAAGAGTCAGTTGCTTCGGATATTCTCTGGAGTTTCCACTACCAGCTCCCTGGTAAAAACTCTGGATATTGTCCAAGTGAGCCAATGAGAGAATACAGCAGAAGAAGAATGAAAAAGAGGCAGAAAGTAAAAAAAAGATAAAGAAAAGAAAGAAAACACATTGAGTGAGAGCAGGCGCAGGTTACCTTTGTGATTCCCAGGACACCTATATTTGGACTGGAGGAGGTGGAACCATTTCCTGTGCCAAAAAGCCCATCGAGCACACAGGAAATACCCTCTATGAATATCCCCCTACAGAGACAGAGGGAAACACACAATAAATTACTCATGCTTTGCTTCCAGAGTAATGGAGCGAATAAGGAGGAGTATAAATAAGAAACCGAGGAGTTACCTGTTGATGGCATGGATGGGAGGTGGAGGAGCGCAAGAGAGACGAGCGCAGGCATAGTAATCTCCAATCGACTCGATGATGCTGGCCACCACAGCACTCATCATACCGATCACACCGGCCACTGTTACAGTTGGAAAACCCCACTGGACTGTAGAGGTGAGAGTGGAGAGAAACTGCATTTAAACGGAAATATCTTTAAAATGATTTTGCCTCATTGTTTCTGGCTGGATTTTATCTGTGGTCCAGGTTAATTATGTTAGTACAGTTGAAACACATACAAACAAAGAGCCTATAGAAACTGTCCACTGCTCATATATTGTGAATTGGCCCGAATAATGCGCTTGAAATGTTGCTTATAATTTTTCATTTCTGTCAGAGCAACAAAAACATGTCCACACCACAGCTACCTGCAGCCGATCCCAGAATTACAAACAAACAAGAAACCCCAACATTCTTCCTCCTCATAAACACACTCACAGGGATATGGGATCTTAAACCACGGTGCAGCTTTGAGGATTCCCTGTCGTGCGTCTGTGCGGGCGTAGAAACCGTACTTATCCTTCTCCGGCGGGAAAACGTCAGTTACAGTGAAAATGAAGCACAACAGCCATGACACCAGAATGGCCATGATGATCTGATGACAAAGACAAAGGGAAGAATTTTTATTTGCATTCCTGTGTCCCTTGTTCAGATATCTCTAGCAATTAAAACATTTGCAAACTCTTCAATATATTTCTCTTTCTATAGAATAAATCTAAAAAACGCAGGTGAAGGAACAGGTGGATGTTAACAGTCGTCTGCAGTTCCATGGTGTGGGCTATGTTTGCCAAACCCCAACCGGAATCCATAATGTACTCTGACATATACCACGTCTGCATATTTCATTCAAGCTTTCAGTTTTTTTTTTCTTCCAGTTTTGTAGCTTTCATTTCATTTTGACTTAAAATTTTTATTCTTACTAATCTTTTAAGAACATTTTATCTTCCAGAGAAGTGAAGTTTAAAAGTGTTGCCCTGTGGTGCCAGTTCCAAAGACTAAGGCAAAGACCCAATAAAAAAACAAACAAACAAGGAAAGTGACAGGAAGCCTTTTGAGGAGACATGTATGTAAGTCAGAGTAGTTTTTATCATTTAATAATCAACCAGCAGGGGGCGGGAGAAGACAGATTTACACTTTACACAAGCATTGCAAAGTGAAAACCTCTTAACTTCCTACAGAAAGACATATGAGATTAACTCTGCTGAGATGTGACACGAGGGAGAGATGTAAAGACACTAAGATGGATTCATTAAAATTAGAGAAGAATAGGAGCCCAGATAGAATTGGTACAAAAAGGCAACAATCTGAGATATACACATACTTTTATGTTTGAAGTTTTGTACTTACAGGAAACATTTTGAAGACTTGAAGTTTATAAGAAGTCCAGCCTTTCTTGGCTTTGTAGACTGGGAGAGGGAACTGAACATTTCTGGCATATTGAGAGAAGAGCAGCACCAAGAAGATAGTCCTGCAAACAAAAAAAGGCTCTTGAGTTTGGTGGATCACAGCCTCTGGAGTGTCAGCAGACTTTCTTCACCTGATAAAGTCCACAGAAAATCTAGAGGAACCAATGTCAGAACACAGCACGAGATCGCCACGCATTCACAGCGTGGGGTGGGTGTGTTGATGATGCTTCTAACATGCGACAGACGGAAAAATTAAAAAACTAATACAAACATCTAAGGATGAAAATACGAAGCTATTCACAGAAGACACCGGCAAAGATGTCAAGAGAGTTTGTGGTGATAAGAACCGACGCCGGTGATGATGTAAACAAACACATGATCGGAATTAATATGTTACATTCTGCCTCTGCCTGTCGCACCACCCCTCGCATGACCCCTGTCACACCGCCCCTTTGAAAAAGAGTAGCCTCTGATTATTTTCTGTACCGTGTGAGAGAACTAATCCAGTTATATACACGTTTTTAAACCTATTACATGTGGTCCTCTTCCATTATCGTCTGACTATGGCCCCCAGAGTCAATCAATTATCCTAACTTCCTGAGAAATAGCGAATCAGTGGCAATTACAGGAACATATTGTCTGTCCCTGTGGAGCGAGACAAGAGTCCCTGCAGCAACAGTGTAAACAACCGTGACACAGCATGTCACGTCACCTGAACATCACATCATTGATTTAGGTCTTCCTTCATCACTCAGTCGTCTTTATAGTCAACATGATCCGGTACATTCTTTTCTTGAGTACAGTAGGCTTTCTTTCTGTCACACACTAACTCTTATCTGCTCATTCTTGGGCTGCAAAGACATTCAGTGTAAAATGAAGGGATCTAGAAAGATTGTTTAGCTAATGAAGTCACGATAAATGAGTTAAGTGAACAAGATACTGTGTAAAAACTCTTCGTACAAAAGCTTAAAGGTGAAACTGCAACAAAAGAACAGAACAACGGCAGTCGGAATTCAATCAGTGTCAATGGTTTCAGTGGTTCTTTCACCCTGAATAGCCAATAGCTAGAGCTAAATGCACTGCTGCATTGTTGCCATACAGCACTTCGATTGATCCATCTGAATCATGATAATTAAAAACACACACAACAAACAGATGGTGGTGAGATGTTTTTGATGAAACCTGAATGCACATTTCTTTTCCTGAGAGTCTGAACTTACAGCATAGCAATGCCCCAGTGTTTTCCAGCCCTCTCGCCTGCGGCCTGGAAACCAGAGAGGCCGATAAGGGCCACAGTGGGGGTGATGGTCAGGGGTCCGATGTACTTCAGCAGGATACCGGGAAGACCCAGTGCTCCAATACACACTTCAATTAGGGAGGACACAATGATGGCGCCCTGGATCTGAGTGGAGAAAAGACATGAAAAAAGACAATGATTATAGAAAAAACCTTGAGGAACTACCCACTTAAAGACTGGAGGAGTTTAAAATGTTTTTTAATCTTTAATTTGAATCAGTAACGCATTGAATCAGTGCAGGCTGAGGGGGACTCTGACAGAAGCAACTGCAGGTAAATCGTAACTGAACACTTAAATTTTCCATTTGCAAAATTAAGGTTTCCCCACAGCATTTCGTAAAGGTGGTGCTCTGCTTCACCTGAAATAAATCACTTCTGCTAACGTCAGACTTTATCATTAAATTGGCATGAAATATAATGCTGGACTTCAGAGAAAAAGAGCAGTGGCCCTGAATCACATGACAACGTGCACACACTTCATGAATGATGCCATTGTTCGGCCCATCCTCTACACTGCTCATGAGATTAAATGTGTTAGCACTGATCAATCACATTGTGATTCCTCGATTTCCCTGAGGATTTATTGTACATCATTCATGTCCTCATTATCCAAGTAATTAGTGGAACAAAATTTCTAAACTAAAACTAAAGATAAGACGTTTTATTTGCATCGTGGCTGGAGGAGATTGGGTTACAGAATCACCAGACATCCAGTTGACATTTGATGCTTCTTAGTGTTAATCCCATTTGTCCTGCCTTATTTCCGTCTCCCTGTTCTGTTCCATCACTTTTATCACCTGCACGTTCTTGCTGCCGGCAGCTCATCGATGTTCCATTCAACAATTTGATTCAGTCTGATTGAATTTAGTCTCGTTCACATGTCACACAAAGAACGGTTACTCTACTGGCTGACGCAAACAGAAAAGGTTAATAGAAAGGAACAGCTCTTGTCACACAAACAAAAGCCTGCAGCCATATACAGACAGTGATGTTCAAATGTTTTGAAAAGGGTCCCTTCGACTACGTGTGTGTGTGTGTGTGTGTGTGTGTGTGTGTGTATATACATACATACGCAACACCTCATTAAAGAGCATATTTATTTTATGCCCATATCTACTTTTATATGTTTCATTAATATTTTTGCAAACATACAATGCTAACTTTTTAACTAGTATATCTCGTTTTTTAAGCAAGGATGAGTTCATTTGTTCTTTGTTGCCTCACCTCTCGTATCCTGGGGTGCCAGATCTGCTCTGTGTGGAGGAGCTCTGTGCTATTAAACACTGCAACATCTAGTGGTAGAAAAGGCAAAAGATTAGAAAACAAGAATATGACCTGTGAATCATTACTCTTGTCCCGTAAATGAGAATAAACTGACTCATCCCATCCTTCCAATATAATCATTGATACCAACAGCATTTGGAGAAGGAAAAAAAAAAAGTCTTTCCAACAGATGTGGATGCTGAAGAGAAGAGTTGTCACCTGTATTGTTACACTTCCATTTGTCCAGCGACAGGATGGCTCTGGCTGGTGCGAGGAAGGCAAAAGCGCTGGCTTGGAACAAAGGCAACCTAAACACAAGGAAAGCATCGTTAGAAATTACATTTATCAAAACTCAATAATCAATCGAATGCAAGAGTGAGAAGGAATTTAGCAGCAATGAAAGGGATTTTCTGTGTAGGACCACCAGGGGTCAGCACACTTTTCTCAATATGTGTGAAGTTTCAGTATCCTAAAGGTCTTTTGTCAGTTAAATACACAGTGAAGATTTCCCTGCTTCTCCCATTCTCTTCTTCTCACTCAAACCAGCCAATACCCCCATTTCTGATCACTCATTCATTAAAAATTAAATAAATGAGATAATGGTCAGCTACGCTCCACAGTGTGGCTGATCTGCAAATTACAACTGTGACAAGCAGGTCATGAGGGAGTGTACATTCATTATCCACCTAAATACTGTGTGATCTGTCTAATCACCTTTATTTATACAGTGTAGAAACAAATATTCCACTTGTGTATAATATACACAAGCCAAATATTTGCAGAAATGATCAAGTTTTCTTCTCATGACATCACACAGATAAGTGGTTTAAATCCTTGTACACATACACAAAAGTAAACATCAAATTTATTTGATCAAATGTTTGTTTGAAAAAGTAGAGACAGAACATTTAAAACGTAAACATGTCCACACTGAATCATATCAATTTCATGAGTTAATTGAGTTTCATCTGCAGGTTCAAACAGGAAACAACTCAACTTTTCCTAGAAAACAACACTGACTCAGGAAACTGCTCAATGTTTATCCCCCTCCCTCCATCTCTTCACTAATGTTAGTTTCTGTATACAGTATGCCCTTTACTACATTTCTCTACCTCCTCAACATAGTTTTATTTCCCCATTTTTCAGTCTTTTGCATCCAGATGTCACATGTGACTGTCTGGGTGTCTCAAGAATAACCACTAGTGACCTGATTTTTATTACCCCGCTGAATATACAAATCTTTTACGTGCACAACATAAAAAGGGGATTGTGTCTTCTTGTTATTCACCAGACAAAACTATACTTAGAACAAGGATCAGCCTTCTGTATGAAAAATGAAAGTGTTTTTATCTTGCTGCAGCATCCTGTTCATACTGGCCATTAAACATATCCTTCCTGATAGACTTCCTTAAAGAGGTACGTGCTGCACGTTCATATTACATTTAGAAATATTCAAAGGCTGATCTGAAGTTAATATGAGACTTTAACCATCAAAATTTGCTAAATCAAGATGATATCCGTCGAGATTAAACCCTTTAAATTTACAATTATTCTACCATGTCTCCATTAAAGCTCAACAGAGGAAACCCTGAGTTTATCTTATTGAAGTATCTGCAAACTTTGTGGATTTTTGCCCCATTATCACTTACACTGAAGCCAGTTCAAGGAGAAATAAATACAGCTCATCCTGCCGTCATCTTTCCCTTTCATTCTGTCTGTATTACAAACTATAAGTGAGGAGCTCTTTGTGTTATTTATGACAACAGGCAATGTTTCAGGTCAGTTGTTGTTTAATGATAGAAGAGATAAAACTGATGAAGCAGGTGGAACACCGGCTACGAATCACACATTCACACACAGGATAACAATATGTGCAACCAATAAAATCTAATGGCTAAAGGAATGTGAGTAAGACTGCGCAGCTCGAGGTGGAGTGAGGACAGAGAGGGGAAAAAAGACGATGAGGGGGAGGAGGAGGAGGGTTTAAGCAGCAGCAGGGTGACGTGAGGTGAAAATACAGATCTTAGGTTGACAGAATGTCGTGTTTGAGACACAAGTTCAAATGAGGTACTGCTGGCATATCTGACAAATCTGTGTTTAATCAATCATAGCTTCAAACCAATACACACTTCTTGCCCAGAAATGATGCAATAGTTGAACCACATGTAGCTCACTCTAACAGCATGCAGTGGAATGATGCCCTGTGTCGTTAGCTTCTGGAATTTATTTAGCTACTGTATCTGATGACTTAAATCACAAACTATCCTCTAACTTTTGACAATTTTGACTTTGTGTTCTAACAAATACAACAAGAAAGTTTCTGCTACATGGGACAACTGCAGCCACATGAACAAAAAAACTTTTTATTTTTAACTCATGTTCTCATAGAAAACATACATACAAGACAACAGCTGCTACTTAGTAAAAATCTGTAAAAGTCAGGGATATAATATGAGATGGCTTCATTTAATCATGAGCTACTTTCAAAACATATGTTTAAAGTAAGGTAACAAAAGAAATGCAAACACACAGTAGGGCTGCACGATATTAGGAAAACATGAAATATGCAATAACGTTGTTAAATGTTGCGATGACGATATGACTTGTGATAAACAAATGCAGGGACCACGGACAGCTCCACAGCCCGAGGTAGGAGGCGCCGCAGCCTTGCCACAGCGCCACTAAGTCTGGAGCAGACACCCAGGGATTCATGCACAGCGCCACTAAGTCCACTTACAGTGATCATTTGGGGTCTTTTCATACATGTTTGGACCGTACAAAAGTTATGTTTTACAGTTCAACCTGCTCTATCAGTAATTTACTGCTCCTCTCTTTGGCTCTATCATTTGCGCTGTGCACTGTCGAGCCAAACCCAGCTCGCACTGCCATCAATACATTGTCCAATTTTACAATTCTTTTGTTTTTACCCAGTTTGAGTTAATGAGTCTGATGATGTTTGTGTGTGACAGCGCAGGAGAAAATTTAAGAAAAGTATCATTATCATTATGTGATGATGTCACATTGTGGCATCTTCTCAAACAAATCAACATAGTAACTGTAGCAGGTCAGAGACTCAGAGAGTGAGAGAGAGAGAAAAAAGAGCAGCGGAGTCGGTGTGTGCCCGAACACACACACCTGCACATCCACACACACAGACCCCTCTCCAGAATGACATGAAGAGCAATGGCTCTTGTCCTGAAGTGGTGCTCAGTGACGAGAGACAGAAAGTGGACAAAAGTGAGCGAATAAAAAACCTGAGCAGGGTTCAACGCATTAAACTTAAGATGTTTCTCAATACTGCATCGAATATCATTTGATTTTCACAGTCAATACCAGCTGAACAATTATGGGAAAACAAACAATAAGGTCAATAATTATTCATAAGTACTCGTGTGTGTGTGGGTGTGTGTGTGTGTGTACCTGCAGCCCAGTGTGGTCTGTAGCAGGGTGGTGATCCCTACACAGAAGAAGATGGTCCCTATGAGCTGACTGGTGGCCCACTGATCGAATCCAACGCACATCGCCTCTGCAAGGAGGAACGGCACCGCGATTGTCCCACTGAAACACGTCAAGTAGTGCTGCAAGGATAAGAAGCCAGAGTCAGTGTGTGAGAGTGGCTGTCTATTGTCTGATTTAGCCAGTAAACTCTGCAGAGCAAAATCCATAGCTACAACATTTTAAGATGTTACATTGACAATTTTAAAGGGTAGGTTACGAGCTTAAGAAATCATGAGGACACTACTACACACAAGAAAAATGAATAAAGGTAGGCACACTACATTCTTGTTTCCAGTTCTTTAATTCTTGTTAACTTTTGACCGCAGTCTTCCCCTGAGAAAAACCACTTGTGGTTACTTGAATTATTAATTACCTCTGCCCAGGAGGTTGTTTTCTTTGCCACTTGTCTGTCTGTTAATCTACTCAGAAACTACTGAACCAATTTCCAAGATATCCTGTGCAGGTGTGGGGCGTGACCTTATGGGAGTGGATCCAAGATCTTTTATTACTCTCTCATTAAATGCATTAATTCCAACTAATTCCAACTATAATATACCTGTCTGCAGTTGCTAATCTGTCCAGACAGAAAGGCCATTAGGTTGATTGGTATTCCTGGAGCCATATTATTTTCAAGGATCATAGCATTAAAACACAACATTCTACACCATGTCCAGATGTGCACTGAAACTTTTGAAGATGCCTTTTCCCCCTAATATTATAATAAAAGTTTAACAGGTTCTCACGTAGTGTTACATTTACATCAGTCCATATGTTGAAACTTACACTTCAAATAGCTCTTTTAGTCAGGGATAGTTAATATACTGATGATGGATAATTACCTGTAAGCCCAAGAACACACACAGGTACCAGGGTGGGGTGTCTTCAATGGTATAGATCATATCCATCCTCCTTGCATCAATACTGTCTGTGCTGTCCAGCGTCTCAGACATCGAGCTCTACACAAACACAGAAACATATTTCATATCTTTCCTATGTTTACTTTTTCCTGTGTAGTTTACTTTATGGAAAGGGTCTAAATGTATCCTGGAAGATTTTACTTATACAAAAGTATATGACACCAATCATGTCAAATGTTAACGTGAGAACAGCCTGTCCTGAGCAGATAAGAGGAAGGCTGAATTTTGCTGAATGAAAACAAAGCGGGATAAAAAAAAAAACACAAGGCAGTAAAAAAGAGAGTGTGAAGTGAAGCTCATCACTTGATTCATTCTCAGCAAAGAAAAACGCACAGTCATAGTGACAACGAGGAAAGATCACAATAGAGGAAGATGACATCAAGATTGATTGTTGAGTCAGGAAAGAGAGATCATTTGATCTGCCTGATGAAAAAACAAACAGATACACTTACAAAACAGTAGACTAACATGATTGTGACACTTGAATATGCAGTATGCTGGTTTGCCTTCAGGCTTTTGAAAGCAAATAAAATAAACTGTACATATTTGTCAAGGTGCAAAACATGAACCCCTCTGATCCGCCTCTCACTCTTCAAGACAAAATCGTTAAGATGATGATCTTAGAGGACGTCTCTTTTGAAGGAGACATAAACTGAAGATACTGCTTTGAGCAGATCGTTTCAAACTCACTGACTCCTAGAAACTGCTTTTAGTAGCATCATTATCACCACTACCACCTGACATGACAGGCCTTAGCAAAGAGAAGCCAGGACTTTTACTGTAACTGTGGTATTGCTACTTTACTGAAGTAAAATTATTACCACTGCTGTAATCTATCCATCCATTGGCTATTCTGCTTATCCTTGTAGGGTAATAGGAGAATGGAGCCAGGCCATCACAGGGTCACTCTTACAGCTACATGTATGATCTTCACTGCCAGCAGGTGTCAGGCACCAGCATAATGGTTTGTAAATGATGTGTCTACCAGACCTCCAAACAAACAAGAATGGAACACGGTTGCCAGGTTGCCTGGTGGAATACAGTGACCTGGTGTGTGGTGTCTGAGTCAACAAAACAATGAAGCTCAAGCTGCCATGCAGACTCATCAAATGGGCCCATTGCATCATATCTATAGGTAAATGTGTGTCAGACCAACCTTCAGAACAAAGACAAGCTTGGATCACAATACAGACAGAGGGAGTGTGTGTTTGTTCTCTGCTTCCCCTAACACTCATTTACACATACATATAAAGAAACTTTAATAATAACAAGTTAACGAGTCATAGGGGAAAGGCGGGGGAGGAAATGTCAAGTCATTCTCACTGTGATGCTGACTGTGGATTAACTAAATGACAGGGTGTAGCTCAAAGCCTGTAACTGTGAGTAAGCAGTTTGACTCACGTCACGATATGTCAGTCTGCTTAAACTGAGGTTTGTTTGGGAGTAAACAAGCACCTTGGATGATTAGTAAAAGACAAGGATTATGCTTCATTCATGTTTTCTCTTGTCTTACCTTTTCTGCATTCTGATTATCTTTAGTGTATATTGCCATTAGCTCTGTATTCTCAGTATCCTGATCTCCACTGGCACCGCCAACTCCATTGACCACCACCTAAACACACAATCACATGCAATTTAGATTTTTAATAGGCCTACACATAAATACAAATATAGAGGATATAATATTAATTACTTTGCAGAGAGAAAAAAACCTGGATATGTAAGATCCAAAAGATGAATATGAAAACTTGAATTACAAATGTCTGAGTATGTATGCGAGTCTCAAATGTACATGTCATGTGGAGCCAAACAAAGGGAAGGTCATAATACATAATAAAGAACAGACTCTGAGAAATTACAAACATTTTAAATTACATTTAAAGAAGATTAACTTCAGTGTTTCTGTGCCCAGAGGACAAGCTGCACAGAAGATGAGATGTTGCATTATGTTTATTTACCGTGTTGTTAAAAAGTGATTTTTAAAGCCCAGATTTTACTGCACAGTTCCGTGATTCCATCTGAGAAAAACATTAGGTAGAGAACAGATGCTTGAATGCGCTCATGCGTTTTCCCTCACATGTAAATATAAGTCTGCTGCATCTATATGCAAGTTTGTTAGCACAGATATGGAAGCAGTAGCATTTACTTGGAGCCATGTTTATGAACAACAGATGCTTTTTAGCTCCGTTTTGATCGCCGCTAACTTCTAACTACTAAATGCTCTGCTGTGTTTATCAGCTGGCTGCTAACTTGGACAATGTCCCAAATTGTTCTGGACAGGTGTCACACAGATGGTTCATTAAAGCGCTGTGTTGAAAACTGCAGATTGCCTATGACACCGTTGAGAGACAGTGACACTAATCCACTGCTCAGCTGAAAAAAAAAAAAGTTGGTGTTTTATGAGCAAAATGAGTATTTTACTTTTAAAGAGATTAAGATGATTATTATCAAAGTATAAATACATTTAATGGAGTACAAAGTTCTTTACTTTAATGTTTTGGCATGCAGCAAAATACTCGACCAAAAGTGATTAGTCATTTATCTATTTTTATCTGTTATGATGGCATCAGGCTAAAGGCAGATTAATGTTCTCACAGAAACTAGCTTTCAAGATGGGCTGTCTGAAATCAAGCTGTTCTAAAACTGCCATGCTGGAAGATGGAGTGAAAAGGGGGAGGTGTGTCGAAAGTGTAAACTTTCAGACAGTCTTTCCATTGAGACGCTCATAGTGTTGCTGTCGATTGTTCAATGAAAACTGCCACAAATAATTCTATGAAATGTAAAAAGAAAGCTGGATACAGAAGCACAATCCATGGCTCCTCTCCCACCTTCACACAGCTGACCAGTCAGCGTGATGAGGGTGTCAATCTCAAAATCTTCAGTTTGACCTCATCTTCACTGTTCTCGGTTTTGACCACAGGTAGTGATTGGAATGCTGAAGTGGTTCAGGACATGCTCTAGTATCTCTGTGTAGTATGTAAATACAAAACCTGAATAAAACTAATATCCACCCCTGGATTTATGGGAAAGTTATAATAAAGCAGAGCTTTGAGTTTGCATGTGATTTATGAACAGTCTTATGAATAAATAGCCATTGTTGTCATTTTGCCCTTAGAACTACAAGAAGCAGTGGCCTGGAGCCAAGCGGACAAACAAAGGAAATGGATGGACAGAGCCGCAGCAGCAGACACCAACCAGCCTTGAAGAAGACGGCTTGTGTGAACCAAATCTGCATGTGCGAGTCAAACAAAGAGAGAAAAAGAGAGACTGGAGGAGGTGAAGGATCAGAACAGTAAATATATGTTTTCATGCACATTGACCAAACACTGTCTTTGTCATTTGTACATTATGAGCATTAGGCAGGTTCATGATGTGTCTCTGGGAAAACTGTTTAAAACAATAAAAGGGGCCATTAAACAGAGTCACTTACCGGAATAGGGTAGAAATCAGCGCCATGTTTGCCCTCCTCTTCATATTTTCCTCCCTCGCTGCTGCTGTCCAGCGACTTGGAAGTGGTGTTTTTCCCCACGCCCATCCTTGTGTATTCAATGTCGTTGTCTCGCTCTGGTGTGAACACTGCAGATGTACCCTTCAGTCCAATTTCATCGTCTAGGACTGCGTCATCTGATTGAAGACATGGAGACAGATCAACAGAGAGATTAATATCTCCATTTATGACGCTAACGCTTCTAATATCCTGACTTGACTATGATGATCTCATCTCATCAGAGAGCCTGCCAGGCTGTACTTCTTGTTAATGAGAAACTTATCTCAGGTCTATTGTTTGCTTTGTGTTTTTTTCCCCCCACTATTCTAGACCATATGAATTGCTAACAGACATTTATCAAGTAAAAAGAAGAGTTATTTTGCTGGTTACACATTTACAGATGCAAAGATTTGTTCCTTTTTCTGTTTCATATCAAAAAGGTTTCAGTTCTTTTTTTTGCCTGCTGTAGGTTAAGAAGGCACTTTTAAAGACACCTGGTTTGTCTCTGGAAACTTGACTGGGGGATTTACAAAATTTTGTGGAAATGACCAATCAAATAATGATTATCTATTAATAATTAAACCAGTTTTTAAGCACAAGTGCAAATATTTGACTGGTTCTTCCCCTCAGTTGAAATAGTAGAACAATTTTTTTACAATACAAAAGACCATCCAGCAGGTCAGTGTCTTGTAAACAGGCACAAAGTAAAATAATGTGATATTTGAAAGAGGAAGAACAAATGATCAGAGCGAAAAGAAAGATCAAGACCAATGATTGACAGCAGTCCAATCAGACGTGGTCCTTGTGTTTTTGTGAAATGAGGAATTTGCACCATGTTGCTCCATACCTGACTTTGAGATGACACTGGCAAACCAATTGGAACAATCGGTGCATTTTATTCGCTTCATGATTAGAAGTCACTCACCAAATGTATATAAAATCTAAAATATGAGAAATTGAATAGTTGCCAAGATCTCAGTTGGCATTCAGGTGCCTGCAAAGCTCAACATAAAGACACAACAAGCTGTGAGTAAATTACATGTCTCTGAACTGAAACGGCTCAGAAAGATGTTCCTTCATAATAGCTATATTAAAAAAGCTATACAGACAATGCACTTTTAAATGAATGACCGTCAAAACAAATTCCTCTGAGGGACTTGTAGCAGCCCATATTATTAGGTAGGAATATTTGTGACTGTGAATATAAGTGCACCCGTATGACAGCAAGACATCTTTGTGGGACTCAGTTGCCATGCTGCGATGTACATGTATTTTGATGGGCTACAACTATAAAGTATTTAACAGTAAAAAAGTTCTTCACTGAGCGTGAACAATATAACTGCATGCAGTCAATTCCATTTTCAGAGCAACTCTCAAGTGATCACACGCATGTTTAGAAAAGGAGTCTGTCAGATGTATAAGCTATTCTGCAAGAACATTTATAGTTTTTTTTTTTTTTTTTTGTGTGCAATCTCCTTGAATGTGTGGCATGGGAAATTTACAAAAATCTATTAATACATAGTATATACCAGGAATGGGGAATGTGTGGCCACCAAGCTTTATACAACCCAAGAGAAAGTTTGATCTGGGCAACAAGGCCAAGAAATACAAAAAAACCCCAAAACAAACAAAGAGGACATGTCCTTCAGCGTGGTCCATTCAGGCTGCATGCCTTTCAAGTCAGGGTGAATGTAAACACCCAAGTAGCAGTTATGTGTAATCAGCAATGAAAGCATCATGGCGACTAGTACATGTGGGATATTGGGCTGACTGAGAGAAATGGACCAAAGATTATTTTTTGTCAGTGTGCCTTGTTAGTGTGGTCACACTTACAGTGATAAAAGGGCCAATCATTACTCATTACAGCTGGAAAGGACTAGCAACAACCAAGTTTTATTACATAATGTGGTGTTACAAAGACTTATGCTCTTGGATAACGGTGTTCAGTAACGGTGTTCAGTAACGGTGTTCAGTGGAGTTTGTTGCCCAATGAGCAACTTTCAAGACAAAATTCTAACAGAGAGAATATGCAGGCTAGTTATGTGATGATCAAGCACATTCAGAAGGGCAATTTAAGTCTTCAAATGTTGAACTAAGAGTAAGTACAGACACTGAAACTACTGATTGAACAGCTCATCTATTTTGTCCCCAAAATAAAATCAACTTTCCCATCCAGCCAGACTCCCTGCTTGCAGTGTAAAATGTTGGGATAGCTGTAATACCTAGTTGACACATCCCATCACTCTTGTCAAGCTGGGCGGCTGGGAGCATCTGTGTGGAAGGGGCAAGAGAGAGGGAAAGGAGGAGGTAGAAGAAGTAGAAAGAGAGGAAGAGATGGGGGAGGAGTGAGGTAGAGGGGTAAAGGAGGAGGAGGGAGGTGAGACATAAGTTAATTTGACAGACAGCATTTAATCACAGGCAAAAGTTATAAGTATAAGTTTGAAGCAGGAGTGGAGTTTAGTTGGAGGAACTTGATGCATAATCACAATCCGTTATCTGAATTGTGATTTTCTTCACAATCTTTAATGTATTGTATGTTAAAATGTAGAGTTGTTTACAACCTGTTGCCTCGGCTGAATATCTAAATATTTCTCTTTTTACCAATATTGTTTCTAAATGATTAAAATGATTGGACATACATTTTTATTAAAAATATGATCATAAACTACAAAAATAAGACTCAAATCATTTGGGCAGCTAACTTATAACTTTCCTTATCATCAAACCATTTGCAAAAACCAAAAACCTGAATATCCTGATGATAATCATTAAGTAAAATGCAAAAAACATTGAACACTTCCTGGCACACTTTCCCAGAATCCTTGTCGATGCTTCAAATGTCTGATTTTATCTGAACTGTGGTCCAAAGCTCAAAAATGTCAAATAAGTCCACCAGGATATAAAATAAAGAAAAACTGTACCTGTAACCAGTTAATCTATACATGTTTATATTGTACTGTAAAATCCCTCAATGTTGCAGCTCTACACATAATAAAACTAGAATCATCCTGAAAGAAAACGCCACATGTCTGACTGGTGGATACTGATGCAGTAAATCACTGACCTGAACGAGCCTGTGGGCCCTGAGTGCTGTGAGTCAGTTGTGAGATGGATTGTGACAGAGTGTATCCCAGTAGCCTCTGGAGGACTTAAGGTCTGATGAGGCATGTGCTAACACTAGCAGAGCCATGCTACTGCAGCATGACATCCTCGAATGCAATTTTCCACTGTTGCCAAAGAGACAGAAACACTCATCTCATCCCTGTTCGGTGTTGACTGGGAAACCGAAACACATGCATGTACACACGGGAATCATAGGGAACTGGAACAGGAGACTAGAGAACTGAAACTGAGTTCATGTGGTTATGTAAGAGTAAAACTTAAGTCTCAAAGACAAATAGACATAAAAACAAGAGTGGGTAGAAAAAAAAGACAAATGCGATGGTAATTTTAACTAGTCCCAGAATAAACAGTCTGGTTTGCAGAGTTAACCATTAAAACACGACCTGGGGATCCTGTGCAGGCTGGTTGTGCTTTGGGTGGTGCTTCGCACGAGATGTCTGTGTTGGCAGTTTCATCTCGAAAGCTAAATTTGCGTGCGTGCTTATCAACTGCATCCCCTCAATATGTTAGTCTGCAGTTTATTCTTTTACTCAATTAACCTGTCAAATATATTCTTGATTACTTATTTAATGAACAAAAAGTTAAGAAAAAATAAATTGTGGAAAAAATTTCTCAGAGCCGGGGCGACATCTTCACTACATCTGCTAAGGAGTTTGTTTACACCCGTTTGCTTATTTACTGAGATAATGACATTAAAAATGAATGTAACAAAAATAATCTCAATGTCCTAAAATGTGACAAACAATGCATCTCATGATACACAAAATAAAACCAAGTTGTGCATTAGAGAACACTCCTAAAAACAACAGTAAACCGTGTTTGTAAAAGTTACTAAAACATTCAGATGCTCTCTCACATACAATCCAAAGAATGCAGACGATGACTCTAGGTAATATGGTTGGCAGTGATCTCATACGTCATCACAGCTACTCAGCTTCAACACTGAAAGTTATAGTATTTTTTTTATTATTTCTACAGTTTAAGGAGCCTTTTTAAAAGGCCACAGTCTAATATCGGAGGCATAAAATTGAGTACTTCTCTGTGCATTATCACTAAAATGGTAAACAATTAAAAAAATCATACCCTTTTACAATAACAAAGACACCACTATAATCTTTAAAAATAAATACTAACTGCCCTTGGATATGTTTGCTTTGAGCCTTGTGTTCAACCATAATCTATGATTGCATTAAATACTAAACATAGACTTCCCGGTTCGTGCATCAGTGGATAAACGGCATCATCTAAAAGAAAAACACATATAGTTATAGTTATACTCAGTGGGCATGTGCAAAGCCTCAAATCTGGATCCTCTAGTTTGTTCTAAAATGTGTCACTTCAAGCTATGGGGAACACATTTAAACATCTTTTTTTAATAAACAGACATTTTGTACTTAATCTGCACAGAAAAAAAAGATAAAACATTTTAACACCCAGGGGGAAAAGGATATGAACGCCCCTTAACAAAAGACCTCAGACAAAAACAAATCCACATGCTCAGGGTGTTAAACTATTATCCACGATGATAGTTGCAAAACTTTCCGCAGCTGTATGAACCAGAGGTGTGATAACAACCTGACAAGAAAGCTAGTCAGCTTCAGATCAATAAAAAAAAAGAGGGAATTTACTAAAATACTTAGATTGCAAGTTAAATGAACAAGATAATAAATTCACTGCATGACAAATACTGTACTTTTTAATTCATGAACAGTTTGACCCATCAACCATACAGTAATTTCATAACTGCTGATAAACAATTCAAAATAAGAAATAAATCAGAGTAAAGACAGTGAAAAAATGTAAATACAAGTATGTTAGCAGCTCTGCTCTTGTCTGACAGCAGGCGACACTTTGCATGACAGAGCACACGTGAGGGGTTCAGATTTCACCATGAGAGGCGAGTGAACTTGTACAAACCTTGCAAGGTCATGTTTACATTGGTCAACTTCCTGTCAGTGGAGCAGAAGTGAATAGAGATAACTGAATTAGTCTCAACAGCACAGTCACAGACTGTCCCAGTGCAACTATAAAGAGCTGAAACAAAAAAAGACATTATCTGGAATAATTTGGATAGTTGAATAAATTGTATTAGTAAATTTTAAGCGAACGCAGAAAATATTTGCTCGTACCAGCTTCTTAACTGTGCTTTGTCATAAGATAATATACTGATTATCTTTGGATTTGAAGGTTGGACAAGGGTGGGACATTGAAACTCTGAGGACTTTTAATTTTTTACCACCTTTATGCAGTAACTTTTAAATGTCCATCTTTGGTCATGATCACACATCACTTGATGAACCCACAGCAATCTGGTTGAAGTTAAGGGTTGGGTTAATTACCAAACCCATTGAGCCAGGAACTTCAAATGTTTTTCATGTATTGTTGCGTTTCATTTTGTCGTTTGATTTGTAACATTTCCACGATCAAAAGGTGCGTATTTTCTGAGGAATTATTGTGAAGCACTTTAAGGTCAATCTTGAGTCTGGTGAAGGTGAAGTTAAATTTTGTTCATTACTATTGTTACTTTTTAATCAAAGATTTATCATTGATCTGCACTGTCAGTGAGTTCAGTAAGTTCCTCAGAGATATCTCTGAATCTGCTCAATGCCTCGGTACACTGATGAAAGTGAAATATTTTTGCAATGCTGACATGGAAAATTTGGAAATGATGCATAAATAAAAAGACAACACAAATACAACCAAATATATAGATATCCAAAATAATATAGGAAATAAATATATCTTTTTTGGCACATCTTTATCTGCATTATTCGTTCTGTTTTTATATATATATTTTAAAAAATCATACTGATAATATCAGCCAGTATGATAAACTGGTCAAGCTCTACTGCTCAGTACTGGTTTCAGCTTGTCAGTCTGAACACAGGTCATGTTCAATATCTTGGATTCAGAATATGTGATTGCACACCAACTTTTGGAAGGGACTTTCAGAAGCAGAGTTTGGGTTTAGCCCATCAGATCACCTTAAAACCAAAAAGAGGAACCAAGTAACAAAATCACCTGATGAGGTGTGTGGTTGGAAAGAAAAATCTGCAGACACTGTAGAGCCATCATGTGACATGGTCTGAGCATTTTTTCCACAAGTCAGGCAGATACTTCAGGGAGATGCACTCAACCATTTGCGGTGAAACACCAGATTTCTGTGGCAGCTGTCAGTGCCAATAACAATCAAAAGTCACACAGACATGCATAACTCTTCTGCAACTAAATTATGCTTGTGCATCTCTGTGGGTTGAGAAAGCTACTTAGACTGGATTCTTCTTGATGTGCGATTTCTTGCATCGATCAGAAACAGGTGAAATGGTGACAACACAAGGCTGAACACAGGTTAATATGCAGCTCAGCACATGAAAACAAATAAAAAGTGGCAGTTGTGAATGAAATCTTCCTGCTTTAGTTTATATTAGGCAGGTGACACGCTAAGATATTTCCTAATCTGTCACAATAGCCATAGAAACCAGCTACCCCAGTTCACAAAGGAAGTTGGCATGACAACCAAGGTCACATTTCATGGGAAGAGACTCCAGGTTAGTCATAACCCATCAACACTTGAGATTCCTGATACAGCTTGTCCCCCTAGGCACTCAAGAATTTTCACCCATGTATTGATGGTGTTTAAATACTCCCTACAAGCAGGACCAACTTCTCAACTGGATGGCATTAATACACAGTATCAACTTATATTGCACATCTATCTTCTCCCCGTCCATTCGTTTTTGCCTAATCCTGCTAATTGACAGGCAAACAAACCGAGACGAAAACATAATTAGCACTTAAAATACAGGTAAGGGCTGATAGGTGCAAATTTCATAGAAATCTAAAAGCTGAAATATTCCACAAGAATATCAACCTGCTAATGGAACTACAACAAAAGGCAGAAGCTCAACAAGTCATTGTGATTCTTCCTCTTGGCATCATCAGAGTTTTATAGCATCAATCTAATGATAATATTTCAGTCAGGACCAAAGTGTAGAACCATTCGGCACACACAAGGAACAGCGTCTTGATGTCAGATAAAGATCACTGCTGTTCACCTCCACTTAGTTTTTTCGGTTCTATGTCCTACAAGATCATATAAGACACAGATGTGAGTACGGTTTGAAGGATGCAGGCATGGAAGGAAAAGCTGGGAAAAGACACCAGCAGCAGGAGTGATGATGACAGCAGTGCAGAGATCGTTCAATTAAGATCACACATGACTTATTAGTGTCATTATACTTCATATATAAATTTACTTCCAGAATAAAATGAACTTGCAATGAGAAATTCTCTTATTTAATAATATTTTCTTTTGTACTTTTCAGTTCAGCAGCAGGACTCCACCCATGCTGTGCTATATAAACACATTTCTCAGTTAAAGAAACCAAAGCAGCAGGAAAGACATTAACATTTAGAGCAGAGGAACTTTCTAAACTGTGTTTTAACTGTATTTCTATCCCTTTCTCAAAGCAACAGCTACTCACACAGCATACACATGACAGGGAGTTAAAGGTTATATATATAATACAAAGGTAATATGCTTTTCTTATAGGTTGTTTCCCCACCCAAAGCCTCAGTCATTATTTTTTCATCAAGTCCAGCAGAGAAAAAGTAAAGGTATTCAGTGTTGCTTAGAGCTGATGAAATCCTTTAAGCCTGCCTGAGGAACATTCCTGCTGTTGCTCGCAGTGGGGCAACCAATTTTACTTGCTTGTACAGTAACTGTGGAGACGTATTACCTTCATTTGGCCCCTTAACAGTTTCGTAATAATCAGTTAACATATGTAATCTGACTCAAAGTGTTTTTACAGAAAACAAGTTCCTCAGTTACTTTAAAAGTGGGTCATCACAGAGAAAATGTTGTGATTGTACTATAACAACACTTAACAGGTTGGAGCTGAAGTTTAAAAATGTTAAAAATTAATACAGTTTTGTTCAATATACGTTGGGGCTGCAGTGGTTTTGTGGCTTTATGGTATACCGTGGTATGAAAATTGATTACAATCGGACATGTGCATTTACTTATTACCAGCATTGGAAAAATTCAAAAATTGACAATTTCACCTGCATGACTCTTGCACATCTCTCCTCCTCGACTATCTGATTCACTCTACACACGTGTTTTTTGATCCCTGACAGGATAACGTGAATGTTTAAATGTCATTCGTAAAAATGCACTTAAAAATGATTTTACTGACCACAGGTCCTGGTTACATCTCTGTGGTGTCTTCAGTTGATGACCTCTGACTGACCGACATACAAAGGATCACGCACACACTTTCCCAGCAACAGGGGATGACTAGAGTATATGTGTGTAGGTGTATGAGAGTCGCTCGAAGATCGAACAACTAACCACATATCAAAATAGCTGTTTAAAATTTTTTTTTAAACTAGTCAAATTTATAACTGTAACAATATAGTTTCATTGGAAAAAAAGACCAAAAAAACCCCGATAAATTCATATTTTCTTTGACATAATTTTAAAACCAAGAGCAGTTTTCACACAAGGCAGCTCGAGAATCCGTTCAGACAAGTTCACAACAACAGGCGAGTGGTGTCTCAGCAGGCAGAGGCAGGATGCAATGCATCAATTCAGCTGCGTCAACCCTTATTACCAATAACTCTCTTGACATCATCATCTGTGTCTTCTTTGTATGGTAGTGCTTTTTCATCCAGAGCTATTTTTTTTAAAATAGTTCTGCATTTGTTGCATGTTAGAAATGTCACCAACCCCCTACTGCTTGCAGTGAATCCTGTGGATGATCTCCTGCTGTGTTCTTACACCAGCTCCTCCAGACATTCACTATAACTATCATTTTACTAAAATAGGGCCAGGGGAGAAAGTCTGCAGAAAGTCCAGAGAATCTCACTTTGACATTTGTGTTCACACACACACACACACACACACACACACACACACACACACACACACACACACACACACACACACAGCCCATCTGGATAATGTCGGCAGGTTCGCTGAAGTTCAGTGCATGTCTGAAAGCAGCTAAAGAAACTTATTATTAGACAACCGTCAAATTTTCACATCTGAGAAGCTGGAGGTTTGTTTTTTTTTTTAAATATCTTTTTAGAATATGTTTTTTAAAAGTGACTGAATCTATTTAATAGTTGCATACTGTGAGATTACTGTCAAAGCAGTTAATCAAGTGATTTTCTAATTCTAATTCTCAGCATTACATCACACATTAAAAAACAAACCCAACTCTGCAATAGAATCACTCACCACCCAAACAAATTGACACCATACAGGATAACTTGTGTTTGACTCGTGTGTAGGTATAACAGGAGACAAGACAGACAAAGTAAATGCGAGGGCTCAGAGAGATAAGGAGACACTGGTGAGGAGCGATATGAAGGCTCCTGGCAGACTTAGCTGATACCAGAGAAAAGAGAAGATAGAAAACAAGAACTGAGATCCTGAACAAGGTTTTTTAATGTGCAACAAGGTCACGTTGTAGACAATACTTTATCCATAAGGTGCTAAACCAGCTTTAACAGAACAATAGACATTACTGTGTGAGCAGCGCACACACAGAACAAGTCAGCAGTCAATTTACAGTGTTTCCAGACAGGTTTCATGCCTGTGAATGAGCTGGTCATTTGTATAACTGTAATGATTAGTTGATTTAGAGAAAATTAACCATTTTGACCATTAAAATATTGCAATTAGTTTTTATTTTAAAAGAAATGCCAAATTGAATAGTTTAATACAATGGAGATTTGGACTATTACGTCTGTTTTACCAAGATTTTTTGTGTTATCGCACATAAAATAAATGTAACTGAGAAAGTGTAAAAAGTATTCTGCAAAACAACTACTCTCAGTAGTACAATTTATTGAAATAACTTCTCATGTATATGTAACAGAGTAAATGTAATGCGTTTGCAACTCACCTCTGCAGATATCCCATAGAAATGTTAATTACTCAAATGATGTGAAAGCTTGTCTTCAAAAAGTTGTTTTCTTGTTCAGACCAATATAACAATTTTGAGTTATTGCTTCTGGTTCTTTCAAGTGCACTCACTTCCTCCTTGTGTGATGCACATTAAGTAACTTCACTGAATGGAGCTGGAATTGAATGTGCCTCTGGTTTCAAGTTATGAAATGGTTAAGTAACACTTATCCTGTCATCATTATTAAACACGGTTACAAAACCCCACAAGAGCGAACACACACAAGCTTTTTTTACTAGACAAACTCTTTTATGTGCACCGAAATCCTGGCTTACCAATAAATCAATAAGTGGCTCCAACGTTCATGTCACGCTCCAAGCATTCGCACACACACTACTACACCAGGCCAGATGTTACCCATTGCAAACACATAGGTGGTCATCAAGTAAAGCAGTAATAGCACACAAACACGCACAAACACACATACGCACACACACACCTGTGTGATGGTTATTTGACACAGGATAGATCCTGAACAAAGTGCCAAAGTCATCCTAGAAAACCTGGGTTCAACATACCCTCATATCTTACCGATATCCAGGTGAACTCAATTCAATTTTATTTGTATAGCGCTCAAGGCACTTTACATAGAAGATCAAGACCGTAACATTTTATTAATATAGAGAAACCCAACAGTTCCCACAATGAGCAGCACTTTGGCGAGTGTGGAGAGGAAAACTCCCTCAATAACAGGGAGAAACCTCTAGAAGAACCAGGCTCAATGTGGGCGGTCATCTGCCTCAACCGATTGGGGTGAGCAAAGAAAACGGGGGAAGGAGGGGAGAGATGGGTGGAAAAGAGGGGAGAGAAGAGAGAATGATAGTGGGGAGGAGGGGGAGAGAGAGAGGCGAGAAAGACCGGGAACACTTGAGCACCATCAGGTATCAGATCTGACTAGTTAAAATGTAAAGAATAACGAAGAAGAATAAAGAAGTTATTGATTATCATTGATAACTCAACCCAACAATTGCAATCAGGCTGAGCCAGTCACACGAAGCTCGTCAGTGTTTTTAGCCTAAATGTCCGCTGTGATCCACCTCCAGAGCCACATTCACGCACACACACCCCACACAAGAGAACTCGCAGATTTACCGCCCACCATGCAACCACATAAACCTTTACACAGTACAGTGACAAGGCAAAGCCTGACCCAGCACGACAGTGAAATCTTAATCACATGCTGCCCTCTGCAAACAGGGGCCAAGAATCCATTTCTGTGACCCAGTTTGTCTCAGTGAGCCTGTACCTGGTCCAACATCCTGTAAGGTGATCCTCTGTATATCTCTTCACTGTAAGAGAGACTCAAAGGAATTACAGGGAATGATTTCTGTCTCCTGTGCTCCACCAGCCATCAAAATGACAATCAGTCACTCTTTAGATTACTTCTTCAATTGTATCCTTTTTTAAAGGGTATTACTAATGTCATTATATTTGTTAATGACTAAAGTCTGTCACCAAGACATCTGTGGACATAGAAGCTTTTGATCCAGACATTACAGTATCATCCAAAAAAAAATCCCAGACCCTCCAAAACAGATTCAGCTGTGTTGTTCAATTTCTATGACACACATTTTACTTTCTTAGTTTTGTACCTTCTTAATTGTACTTTGTATGTTTGTTTTGACTTTGTGTGATGGTTTTGACCATAGATGACCAAAGATTGACGACCAAAAATGATGGCTCACCAAAAGTGAAGCCAAAGCGTCTTGATTGCCACCATGTGGCTGGCTTCAGTAAAAGGTTAAAGTACAGATCAAATAATTTTTGCTCTTTGAGAATCCTCCCTCATGCTATAATACCAGGGGATACAACATAATTGACAGCTGAGATTGAGGGAGTACCTTGGACTCCTAAAGAAGTTTGTCACAGACTCAAATGCTGTGGCTCAGCTCAAAGGGCTTGAGGCGGCTCTGATTTTCATCGAGAAAGCTCACGTAGCTGGCAGGGTGGCCGGTCAGGTGGTGTCGGGCGTGGTGACCAAAGTGTTCAACCAGCCAAAGGCTCGGGCCAAGGAGCAGGGCACCGACATCTGTCTGATGTACATCGAGATCGAGAAGGCAGAGGTGGTTCAGGAAGAGCTGCTGAAAGGACTGGACAACAAGAACCCCAAGATAGTGGTGACCTGCATTGAGACGCTCAGGAAAGCTCTCAGTGAGTTTGGATCTAAGATTGTGATGCTGAAACCAGTAGTGAAGTTGAGCACATGTATTGGCGGGACCCTGACACCGCAGCTCCATTTACTGATTGCTTCTGCACAGACCGAGAGTTCATAGCGTCGTGTATAGCGCCAAATCATAATATACATTATCTCAAGGCACTTTACATAGAAGATCAAGACCATAACATTTTATTAATATAAAACAATTTGAAAAACTATGGAAACAACAATAAACCAATTCTGATGTCCACATTATAAGATAAAACGTTTTTCCTGCAAGTATAACCATATCGTTACCACTATGTTGAATCACAGACAGAATTTACATAAGCTATTCATGTTTAAAGTTTTGCATAATGATGCAATTTTTGGAAAAAAGAGTAAATCAATTATTTATAAATGACCTCTTGTCCACCCTGTGAGAAGAGCCTGGAACATGATATGTATCAGTCAGTCGCTCAAGTATCTTGGCTGCAAAGACAGTAAACAACATAAAATAAAGGTCCAGACTTGCCACAGCAACATAGTGTGTAGCAACATGCTGTTCCATTCCTGTTTACATTTTGAGCCCTTACTGCCTCTCACACAATGTATGTTCAGATTGCAAGGGTTCAGGCCTTATGTCCTTAAGAGGGACATCAGGATTCAGCCTGAGAGTGCCGATGGATTAGTTTAGGGATTCCAGTCCACTTGATGTCAGTTAACACAGTGAAGTTACTCTTCATACTAAAACTGCAGCTGTAGTTTTTTCCCCTCCTCTGACTAGTTTTTTTTCTAAATGAATCTTGGAAGCAAGTCAGGTTAAGCTAGAAATCTATACTCTGAGTAAACTGAGGATGGAAGAGTCATCAGGAAAATTGATTAGACTGGTAATTCACAAGAGCTGAACTTTGATTCTGATCAACCTGTGGTGGGCCTGCCTTAGAAAAGGTTGTCTTGTGATTAAAACGCTGAAACACCCGATGACAGTTACGTCCGTAAAATCTACTGGTGGCCACTAACACCTGCTAACATCATCACCTTAAATGTGCAGAAGACCTTCAAACGTACAAGGAATATTCAACACCTTGCCCTACATTCGAAACAGGTATGGAAAAAAGGCCTCATCATTCCATTACTCGAGGGGTTGATATCATCAGCATCAGTGAGCCGATGGGCATGTAGCGTGGTTGTACAGAGATGTAACAATGGTGATGATTGACTTTCCAAACATTACAGAGGAAATGCTACACCCAGAGACTGGGTAAATCAGTACTGACTTCTAGTATACAGACTTATGCCCAAAATTTAAATGTACAATTTGTAACTTCGGCCGATGGAGGTCTCCAAATCCCCCATAAAGATCTAGTTTAAAAATATTGTGAAGGACCAGCCAAAATGTCCTAACAATGATTGAACCAAAATTGACCCTCATAATTATAGACACACATACACACACTTGTACTTCTATCTTAGTGAAGACACCGATTGGCATAATGTATTCCTTTACCTTAACTATCCAAACTAAATGCCTAACCCTGAGTGTTAACCCTCAAACAGCCCTCTGAAGAAGTGAGGAATGTCCTCATTCTCCAAAAATGAATTATTCTGGAGGGTCTCTGCTTCAAATTGTCCTGGCAGTGGTATAAGTACAGGAACAATCACACTCACTCACTCACACACCTGCCCAGCCATGTTTCAGCCAAATGAGCCAATAAATCCAATACAGCCAGATTAGCTCTGGTGTTCCAGATGGTGCTGCCTGATATCCGTAGTCTGGCTCTACCTCGTGAGGTCTCATCGGTGTAAGTGATGCAAGACAATGTCAATGGGTGATTCACGCTGAGCACTTCCATCTCTGGAGTCACAATGGAGCTCCTGTAGCTCCTGTGACTGTTTCCACGCGGTCCAGCTAAATAAACACAGCAGAGCTCCAGAATGGAGGATGACCGAGGCTGGTTTGTCTGAGTGTTTCACGGCCACTCATGAACATCAGCAGACACGCAGTCATGCCGCCGGGCCCGTGAAGTCCTGCTCCAGCTACCAGAGGAGCCACCTCCACATCTCTGAGCGGCTCCCCCGCTGCCAGCCGGCAGGAGCGCCGCGGTTGCTGCAGCGAGGAGAGGAGGGGAGGGGGCACACGAAGCTCGACCTACTTTCTTATATCAGCGTGTAAGTGCGTGTCTCACGGGATTAAAAAATAAAAATGGCACGTTTGTCACTCACCTGCCCGATGAAAGAGAGCGAGGAGCCCACTTCCCTTCTCAGCTAACCGTTGGCTCGTTCCCCCGCGATGCGTGTTGTCGGAGCGTAGCGGCCGGAGGAAGGGAGGCAGAGACAACCTCTACGTGGAGCCGGAGGGAGCCGAGAGCGGGCAGCGGCGGGGAGATGAGGCGGTGCTCACGCGCAGGTTCTTACGGGGACACCGACGGCAGCTTCTCGGAGGCAGAGACTCGCTGCTCATGGACGGATCCTGTGTTTCATAAAGACACGGGGGTCGACCTTCGTCATCACGCACCCTCACGTCCAGCCGTGACGTCAGGAGCCCGCCTCCTGTTCCACACCCCGCTGCGGCCCAGGCCAATCACGAGCGGCCCTTGAAGTGACGACACGAGAAAGTGAATTAGTGAGTTTTGAGGTTTTGACCTGTTTTATTTACGGTCTGTGGTTCTGACCTGTTTTATTTACGGTCTGTGGTTTTGACCTGTTTTATTTACGGTCTGTGGTTTTGATTTTAAATTGGATGTGACTGGTTCGGCATTATTTCCAGAGGGTGAGGATATTGAACAGAGGGAAGGAACAAGGGATGGGAAACAGATTGTCATGGAATTGATGGTGTCCTGTTCTATTCCTGGTTACTTAAGACTGAGAAGCTGCCATGATCCCTCACATGTGTCTCCCCCTGAGGTGTCTTCGTTTTTCCCCCTGTTAAAAGGGGTTTTGGGTAGTTTTTCCTCACTTAGTTGAGGGTTAAGAACAGAGGATGTCGCACCTTGTTGACAAAGTGTGTTTTATGGGCTATACAAAATACAATCTTATTGATTGATTGATGAAGTTGATTAACGCTTTGTAAATACAAACAGTCATTAAATCACTGTAATAGAGACAGACCCTATCAATGCTTAGGACATCTGGTTTTCTCCTTCCCAACACATAACATCAATAGCATAAAAACTTCTCAAAGAGAGAGAGCCTTTGTTAATCTCTGGCAGGCTCTTGGTGGCTCTGTCTCTGTATTGACCTCTTTGCAAAAGTATGAAGCTTCCTACAATAAAATATACAAGGACAGGTCTGTTGTGTGACCTTTATTTTCGGAATTCCACCACAAACTGTAACATAGTGGCGCTGTCAGGGAATGAATAAAGTTGTTTTTAATAATAATAATCTCAGAAAGATTAGGAACATTTTTTAAGAAAGGAAAAGAAAAGACAAGATAAGACAAGCTTCGACTCATCACTAGAACTTTTTACTTCCAAATGTCCGCACAGAAATTGCATTTTTGTACCTGCAAATTCATTGCATAAGGACTTAAAGCTGCAGCATATGAATCTCCAGAAATGCCTTTAAAACAGAATAAAAGAATGGAGCATTGAGGATCAAATAAAAGAGGTCAATAGAAAAATCACAGATCATATGCTCTGCAAATTCAATTATATGGACACCTACTGGAACAGGTTGAGGTGGTCAGATTTCTTGGAGTTCACTTTGATGAATAACGTACCTGGTGTGCACATATAGATAGTCAAAAATAAATTCAAAATGATTAATAATATTAAGATGTATGTCAGGGCAAGATTGGGGAGCTAGCAGAACAGCAGTGTTAAATATTAATAATATAAATCTTATGAGAGCAGCTCTAGATTATGGGTATGGATGGGTCTGCTGCAGAAACCAATTTTTTTGTCAATTTTGTTTGTTGACAATACACTGCTCCACACTCCCGCTCAGAAGATGGCAGTAATGCACCTATAAACTGGTTTTCCAACTGCCAATAAACACCAGAAGAAGAAGAAAAAAGAAAAAGGAAAAGAAGAGAAGGAGGAAGAGGAGGAAGAAAACTGAAAGTGTTTTGAACAAAAACAATTGTTGCCCACCATCGCAGAAGCAGATACGAAGAAGAAGAAGACTTTTGACATCTATTGGATTCCAAACTGCAGATTCAGGAATACACGCCCACAGTCTGCAAGTTGGCAATGGAATCAAGAAGAGAGACGCCACTGACCCCACCCTCACCACAAGGATGCAAAATCCGATTTGGCCCCGCCTGCAATGCTGATGTGTTCGCAGAATTGTTCTCCTTACTCCGAGTAAATATACCTACAACGCCACTTCAGCCATCTATCCTCCATAACCTGGACATACCACCATTCTCCAAGGATGTGATGCAACAGCACAAATGGAGCCTGGATGGACTTGTGGTTGCCACCTATATCTGCAATCTGAGAGTGCAAGAGCCTGTGATGAGACGCCAACAGGTCATCCTTGAGATCATGGCTCCTTCCTTGCCAGAGTTACAAATTTTCCCTCACGCAGAGGCAGTGGCAGAGCTCGATGCGCTTCTTGCAGACACAGATGTTCTGCGCGGTCAGGATTGGTTTATCAACGGCGTGCGTGATCTCATACGGCTGACTCCAGATGGTGCTGGAGGCGACCACGTGTATCGACGCTGGGCTCAAGACGCACACTCCTGGTGTCCCGAAGTTACGCTTGCACAAAAATTAGAGTACCTAGTAGCAATCGCAAAAAATGCAGGCGACTGCCAGCGAAACCAATGCCTGTACCCAGTACTCTCGACTACCCTATCATTCGCACTGCATGGACAGATAGCACAAACAAGCCTGGACCAGATTGTCACTGATCTACAGCGCACAACACCACATATCGCAGAGGCGATTACCAGTGTTGATTTTACAACCACTTGGCATTATTTTGGTCACCTTTTGGATGATGGTAACATAGCTGCAGTTATGGCTCGGTTATTGAGTTTCACTCATGGGACATACTGCAGATTAAGAATGTTAATGGCTAAAACAACTGGATCTTTGATTGGACACCTGGATTTTATTGCTAAAGCAGTCCATGATCATCCTGACTTCCCTTGGCACTTAACCATGCGTCTCTTTCCTAAGGAGTGGGACAACGCTGTGCATGCATTCAAGATGGTTGGAGGCAATCCATTCTTTGGCTTTGTGTATGAAGACAAGTTACTAAATTGCAGAATCAAGAGAGTTGCCTGGCTGTGCGGACATCTTCTGTTCGCCATGGGAGACAACAGCTTTGGGGATTTTCGAGGAATGATTTCGGAGGACAGAGTCTACAAGAAGAAAGTGCAAGGGCTCATCGACACCTATAGAATCACGCAGAACCGGGACACATCTCCAATCAAGATCTTGAGAGGAAACAGCACATGAAGACCATAATTGGCGAGTGCTATATAACTCCACAGCATGTAAGGGTACCCTCATCCATAATCACCTGCAGAAGAGGAAGATGCTCTCACCTGCACCAAACCTTGGCAGCACATCACCCCTACCCTCAAACATCTGCGCTGGCTCCCCATCCTCACCTACAAATCTCTGCATGCACTTGCCCCTCAGTATTTAACCGACCTCCTTCATGTTCACCACCCCTCACGGAACCTGCTGTCTGCTGACCTGGGTCTCCTCACCATCCCCCGCACAAGTAGGCGCACCTTTGGGAGCAGGGCCTTCAGTGTGACGGCTCCCACTCTGTGGAACTCTCTCACACTGACTCTGCGCCAAGCACAAACACTGGACTGTTTGAAATCTATGTTGAAGAGGCACTTGTGGTTGTCTTTGTCTGTTGGTGTTTTCTATTGTTGTTATTGTAAAGTGCCTTGGGTGTCCTGAAAGGCACTATATAAATCTAATATATTATTATTTTTTATTATGTGAAGATTACTCTCACTGCTTAAAAGCTCACTATAATCCCACTGACACCTTACACTGGTGCTTTGAAAACTTGGACACTCTCCTTCCACAAGCAAATAGCAGCTGAAGATCCAATATACTCACTTATATTCTTCACTTATAACAAATGCATGGTTTAAAAATATAATTGAATGTAATAAAAGCCTCTCCTTGCTTGAACCCTTTCTGTATTTTTTTATTCCCCACCTTCTAAAATATCCAACTTCAGTGTCTTTCTCATTACCTGTAGGCTTAAATATTCCACAACACTGCCATCTGATGGGTGTTTGGCTGCACTGCATTCATCTGAGTGCATTACTGAATGCACCAATGATCCTGGTGTAACCTGGCTGGCACTAGGTTGCACTCCAAAGACAAATCAGCAAGCAGGTGGAAAGTAACTGCATTTTGAGATACGTGTAGAGGGACAGTCATCAGTAGGAACACAGTGACGATGGATGTTTTACCAGTGCACAGTGTTTGATCACTTCACGTTTGATTATGAGGTGCAATAGATAGATAATCAAGACTGCATTCGGTAATGAACCCAAGTAAAAGTCAAAGTGTTATCAGTGTATCATGATAGACAACTAATTCACTGTTGTAGCTGATCCATGTGCAGCTGCTTTTAGCTATACAGTGTGGTATTTTAGTTCAGTGGTTCCAAGCCTGGGGGTCGGGTCCCTCCAAAGATACACAAGATAAAAAAATAAAAAGTTCTGCTCCCCATGTTTTGTCTCTTCGGGCCTCACTCTTATTTAAACAAAATCATCTGAAAGAGGAGAGATGTCGCTTTGGTGAAACTAACCACTCAGACAGCTGAAATATGGCAAGAGTTGACGAGTTGTATTTAGAAAGCAAATAACTATACTGTAGCTGTCAAATACACGTAGACGAGTATTGAGTAGGGTATTTTCAGCTGAATGTATAAGTATGAATTTAATCTGATGCAGTACAAGTAAATATCAAATTCCACACTTACAGACAAACCCAACCTATTTGAGTGTTTTTAGTTTGGGTTGTGCTCTTGTCCTACTGATGAGCATTACTCTTGTTGGTTCACTTACTCTTTGTTCACCCACAGTTATGCTGCTTTATCATGTGAGTGCAGGAGGGAAGTAGTGAAGGGACACAAAAAGTAGAGGTCGCAGCTTTCAACAGCATCTTTAATGAACTGACATCACAAAGGTCTTACTGTACTGTACATAATACTGTGGCACTTAAAGTCAGCATGCTCATAGATACCCAGGAACCAAGATAAAGCCTTCATTCAGCAGAAAAGAACACACTCTAACAGTCCTTTTTTATCTTTACTGTATCGCACAGACTCACTTTACTTCGTCTGACCAGCTAAACAAAATTATACAAAATACAAAAAAAGAGAAATCTTTGAATAACGCATTTAAATTCTGTGAAGAACTGCCACTAAACACAATGGTAAACTGATTAACACAGAGATTTGCAGTTCTGGTCCTATTCCATCAGCCACTGCAGTACAGAGGAGACCAATACAATGTAGGATATATAACTATTCACTATACATATATACATACACACTGGTTTCCATCAGTGGTATATCAGGTGCAGGTATTTACAGTGCCTTCATTTCAGGCACATATAATACATAGTCATAAAATTGTAGTGCAAGCTAATTCCACATCACATATTTGAAGACAAACATGCTTTTAATTCATTCCTTTTTTTTGTCTGCTGTGTTTTTTTTCCGGTGCTTCTCTATGTTCACTTCATCCAGTGTAACAACTCAAGCGTATCTGTGTGAGTGTGTTTGACAGAGGAACAATTTGTGTGTGTGTGTCTGTGTGTGTGTGTGTGTGTGTCAGAGATATAGACAAGGTGTGGCGGTGATAAGCTTGTGTTCTTGTCTTTCTCTTCCCCCCTTGTTTGGTTGTTGATCTTTTTTGGGAACTCAAAAAATCCACTAAATAGAAGAAAATTTGACCCAGGTAGCTCTTCTTCAGTCTCTAACAGTCCTTTTCATCCAGACGCAGGTGCAAGATACAACTAAAAGAGCGTGGCGAGAAATAGAGGACACTTCTAGTTTTCAGAACCTACATCATGCACCAGGATGTTGTGCGATTGTGAAGAGTTTTGATGTGTGTGAGTGGGCTGTGTTTGTGTGCCAGTAGTGGACGAGGGCGAATTGAGAAGTGATTCCTCATATCACATTCTCAAAGAGCTGCATGGAGTTCATGATGTTCTCGTCCTGAAGAAAAGACAGATAAAAACATTTGTCACCAGAAATGTGGGGTAAACAAATTTCAGGTTGGTTTATGGACTTGTGTTTTCATCGTGTGGCCAAAATGACAATGTTGTTTCCAGTCAACTCATATGAAATAAGAGGGTTTTAATATGTTAAATATATTATGCTTGGATCTAACACAGTGAGCCTATTAAAACTTGTTTTCATGTATTTTGCGACAAAAGTGATTGATTCAATATCAGCAATTTGAAGTTTTCCATATTTTATTCTTAGAAATTAGACAAATAGATAAAACAGGTAAATGTAGCAGGTAAATAATGATGACTTAATACATGTCTACGCTGTATCAATTACTTCTAAATGCTAAGAAAGCCTTGTGTGAAGTGAATCAATCTGATTAACAGTGTCCATCTTTTTTCTGCACTTTTTAATAAAGCAGTCTGTAAAGTGTGTTGATTCAAACATATGCCAGCAAACCTGAGTACATTCAAAATGTTTGTTATTTGAATATAGCACACTACTAAACATTTTGGTGGAACAATTGCAAAAATAGGAGTGTGTGGAAGGAGAACATGCAAACATCATTATTATTTTCAGTGAGTCACCTTCTGACAGGTCTCAATGAACTCTTCAATGGTCACTACACCATCTCTATTTTTGTCCATTTTCTGTGGGGGAAAAGAAAAAACCCACAAAAACATAAAGAAAAGACTTAGTAAGAGCGTTTTCAGACAAGTTGTAATGTTTCTTTGATGAGAGACCAAACAGAGGCCACGTAGCACTGCACACTTGTGTGTTTTTTATTTGTCAACCTGGAAGAACTTGTCCACATGTTCGGAAGGCGCTTCATCTCGCACACAGGGGTAGGTGTATCTCCCCATCATATCATAGATTGATTGCATAATCGCCAGCATCTCCTGCAAGGAAGACGACAGAAGCAAAGTGAAACGAGTTATTTATTGTTATTCAAATTATGTGATAAGATTTTAAAAGTGCAAAGCTCTGAGATTTAATTCAGTACCTCTTTGGTGATGTAGCCGTCCTTATTAATGTCGTAGAGGTTAAAGGCCCAGTTCAGCTTCTCAGTGACGGAACCTCGGAGCAACACTGACAGGCCGATGACAAAGTCCTCAAAGTGGATAGAACCGTTTCTGTCGATGTCAAACGCGTTGAACAGGAAGTGAGCGTAGGTGGTTGCGTCTGGATAAAAGGAGTCAAGGTGAGGATTTAGTGTTCTGTACTTTGGTACGGAGAGTTGTTTGTGTTATGATTGACTAAGAGCTTTAAACACTTGCTCTGGGCTCTTTGTTTGTCATAGAATACACCTTTCCCTCTAATTTCTCCAATAAACCCAGATCTTTAATGTGTTAACAGAACAATTATTTTATACAGCCTGCTGTACAACCAAAGTTATGGTACTTCTGGGGTTGTTTATCCGAGCTGCTGTCTAAATTAACTATCTTTACTACTTTCACTTTCACCAGTGCTTCAGCCCCATAAAATGTTCACTTTATCCATCACTGGAACAGGTTTATTGTAAATTAAATCAATATAAATCATTTATCTTTACAACAGTTCTATAATGATGCTACAGGAAACCTTTGAATTAAAAACAGGTTGAAATACTCTCAATAAAATAAAATAAAGGTTTAGGACCCAGTGACAGCCAGAATTGTCGATGGCTTTGTTAAAAACTGTGACTTTAACTAATTAGCCGCACATCGACCAGTTAAAATGCTACTTATATATAATATATCAGTAAAAATATTGAAATATAATGAAAGGGTGTATTTCTGAGCAGAGCCATCTCCTAATACAGTCCATGCAGTTTCTGACAAGAGAGGAGAGGAGGGATTGTTTAAACAGCTAACCTCCTTGGGGAAAGAACTGAGAATAGATGGACTTGAATGTCTCCTCATCAACCAGCCCACTGGGACACTCCTGCTCAAGAGACAGAGAAAAAAAACGAGATCTATATATTAGAATAATTTAAGTCTATATAAAGCATAACAATGGTGGTTAAGCAATTAAGATTAAGAAGCAATTAAGCAGGCAGGCTTACATTCTTGAAGCCTCGATACAGAGACTGAAGTTCCTTCCTGGTGAACTTGGTCTGAGCCTGCAGCTGGTCCAGCCCCTCCGGCTGGTGACGCACCGTCGACAGCTCCAAGTCACTGTCGCTGCTGTCTGTGGGAGAAAGCGAGAGAGAGAGAGAGAGAGAGAGAGAGAGAGAGAGAGAGAAAGAGAGAGAGGGGTGGAGAGATGGACAAGAAGATATAGAGAAGAAAGAAAGAAAAAGAGAGAAGTGATGTAAAGAGGTAAAGATGAGGAGAAAAAGAGGGAGGATGGGGGAGACTGAGTGTGTGGATGCTGGTCAACATTTTGAGGGGGGGGGTCACACATTCAACAGGGAGGCAATTTATCATAGAGGAGGTGGGGAAAACGTGCAAGTTCTATAGAAATTTTGTAAAAAACTGCAAAGGAGCAAAGGGCAGGCAAACGAGGGAGTAAAAAAAGAAGAGGAGGTACTTTCTTTATGGCGGAAATGTCACCAAACACGCATGGTAGTGTTCTTTAAATAATTACAATAAATAAAAAGAAATAAGGCCACTGCAGAAAATCTGAATTTGAGAAATTCTATTCAAGCCACAGTGTCTTTTTTACGCACAGAATAAATCAGCATTAAGTGTTGCGGCATCATTGGTTTCCAGTTCACACACATTAAGAGAAAGCACTGCACCACTGGGAAAAAGAAAACATTCAAAAAAAGGAGGGAAGTTTTCCTGAAATATAGTTTTGGTTTCTCCTGTTACCATACTCACCATCTTTAGACAGAGAGAACAGAAGAGAGGAGGGGTGTTGACACCAAGATGGAGTGAAAGAGAAAACATGGAGAACAGTGGGAGAGTGATAGTAAGAGAAAGAAAGACAAAAAAACACAAAACAAAAAACAAAGATAACAAGTCAAGTCAGATCGGACACAGAAGAATATATGATGAGCGCTATATGATCCAAACTCATTTATTCTGATAAAACATCCAGCAGAGCAGTGAAATATCATATACTGTGAAACATAAAGCAAATCAGAACTCCATGTCATATTTTTCTCTAAGTGATGACCATAGACTGTAAATAATGATGGACAATGTGTCTCCACTTCTGTCCACTATCCAGAAATGAGGGTAAAAAGAGTCTGTGCAGTGGCGATCAGGGGATGGAGCCACGGTAGCTATGTCCCATCAATACATGTGCTCGACCAATCACGAGTCAGTCTCAGCGGTCAATCATGACGTCTCACCCATTTTCATAGCATCAATCTTAGAAAAATCAGCACTGGAACAAACATCAGTGATAAAAACTAAAATGACAGAAACTATCTTAGAGAAAAACATATCTAATGTGTACTTTGACTTCTTTACTTGTCCCATATTAACATGGAGGAGGCAGCATTTATTACATGTACTTCAGCCAGCCACCGGGTGGCTATCAAAACGCTTTGGCTTCACTTTTGGGGGCTGTCATGTCGTCCATCTTTCCATACAGTCTATTATCATGAATGGACAATATCAATACACCGCACTTTGGCGTTGAAGTTTATTCTTAAACTTTGGATCAGCAGCTAAAAATCAACTTTAATCAAATGGAATTTTACTTTGAATAAGGGAGCAAGCTACATGAGGAGGTCTCTGAGAATAAACATCCAGAAAATTGTAGTGAGTGGACACAAATCAATACACACGTATATTTCAATTCCAATATTACATTTTTTGCATGTTTTTTTTAATCGTAGCTGGAACAAACACTGTTTCATAACACAGCAAGACATTAAGATAAATCCAGATTTTCATGAACGCACCAACATACCAGACAGAGCCAGACCCAAACATCAGCGGGCAAATTACATCAGCTGATTTATGGTAATTGCAGATAAATCGATTTTGGCATTTATCACGGCCAGTGAGTTAAAAGAATTAAAGCAAGGGAACGCTGAATATAGTGCTTGATATATTTTATTTCCAATGACACTATTGCAGAGTTTGTCCAGCATGACTCCACTGTTGGCAACACTAACCCCCTTAACCAATGTCTGACCATCACATTTCAAACAGCCAGAGCAGCTACAGCTAGGAGGGTCGTTAGGAAGAAATTACAGAAAGAGCTGATGCAGACATGCCCCTGCAAATAACCAAAATCTTAGGGATCCTTGACCAACACCATTGTTTATGATATTTGTTGCAAATCAGCTGATGCATCGATTCACAGTTATTTTTAAAACTCTCAAATATCCTGTATGGGTTCATGCCAAAAAGACAAATATAGCAGCGGTAAGTGATTCTTTTTTTCCATCGTAGCCTTGATGATCTAAAATGACCTCATTATTTATATCCTTTGTACAAGTCTCATCTTTAGAAGGATCTCACAAATACACCTACTCCTCACATGACTTTTTTTACTGTTCAAACTGAGATCATTAATGTACATCATTTCTTTCCAGCCTCCTCGCTCCATCTCATCCTCCTCTTCTAAACCCCTTTCTCCCAGGTTACCTCACCGGTCTCAGTGATGTCGATCAGGCCCAGCAGATGCATGAGTTTGAGGAACATGATCACAAGGCAGACGATCCCAACTGTCTGCAGTCCCTCTGTCTCCCACCTCACACTCATCTTCCCCTCTTCTTCTATCTTGTCTTCCACGGTCCTCGTCTTTCCGTCTTCCTCTGCTACATTATTGGACTTTCTCCGCACATTTCACTCCTTCCCTTCAGTCCATTCTTCCTGACTCTAAAACCTCGTCACTCAATCTTCAGTCATCTTTTCTTGTTGTACCCTTATTTTACTCTCCAATTCTACTTTTTTTATTTGACTGCCTTTCCCTCTCCTGTTCTCCTCCTGCTCTAAAGGATCTTCAAAGATATTCTCCACGATGAAGATTTGCGTCTGATGGTCGTTTATATAGGTCAAGTGGATCCTAATACCTCCAGAGAGAAAAAGAGAGACAGAAAGAGAGAGAAAGAGAAAGAGAGAGAGAACGAGAATCCCCCTCCAAAAATCGGGGCCGTAGCTTAAATCCAAAGGAAATACAAGTTCAGAGCGCAGAGATTCTCACACCACACATGTAGAAGTCGGTGTGGGATTGCTCCAGTGTTTCTTACTCCTCTAGCTGAAGACAAACATCCAATCAAGAAGACCAAAAACACGTCCAACATTTTTCCAGTGAGCACTGACTGAGTGACTGAGCTTCTACATCTACATCCTCCCTCCATCTCACATCTAACTAACCTGTGAACTCCCGGGGAAACACAGGAGAGCCACGTTTCTCCCACTTTTATCAAAACAAAAACAAACAACACACAAAATACATCAAGGCACCTGCTACTGCGAATTTAATTGACCAGGATCGACAAAGACGGAATACTTTTTGTTAAATGTGACGTACAGAACAACGGTTTTCCTTTAAGGAACCAGCGGGGGTGGTGGCAAAGGTCAACAGGTGTCCTGAATCCCAGTCATCTCTGTGATCCACTTTCTAATTGTTCCCTCATCTCTCCTGGGCTTCGTAACACAGATTTAATGCGGCATCGACTCAGTGGAGTCCTGTCACACACACACACTCACACTCATATAATAAAGGGAAACAGTGAGCAAACGCTCCCTCAGGTCCTGTGACACTTGTTCAAAACTCATTTCATCAACTCATTTTGAGGGAGGGAGGATGGATAGATGGGTGGGTGGGTAGGTGGATGGATGGATGGATGGATGGATGGATGGATGGATGGATGGATAGATTGATAAATAAAAGAGGCCTGATACCCTAAAAATATTAGCATAATGAATATTATCACCAATAACATTAAAAGGTACCAAAAGTAAAATTACTCATCCTGCAGAACTCCTGAATCACACAGACTCATTTCATTTCAATGCAACGACAAATGAAATAATTAAAATCATCATCATTCGTATTTTATATACTATTATATACTAATAATCAGAATCTGAAAAGAAACAAGTAGCTTGAGTTGATGTAGTGGAGTAAAAAGTACAATGTTAAATACTAAAAGTGTAGGGAACATGTTCTTTGAATCTCCAGGGAAAATGTATTCATAACCTGAGACAATT